TGTACACAGGACAGCCTTTGTATGAAGCTGTGTGTGATCCAGCGCATAAAGCGCATTTAGCGGGAGTCGACGGGGGTTTTGTGCATGTGGCGGAAGGATGGTTATCCCCACACTTTACGCACCGAGGGGAATGGTGACAGTAATTACTCGTAYGAAAGTAGGCCTGACAGTCTTTGCATTGAGGAGGGGATAATTTTATTTTAGGCCGCTCGATTTTGATTTTTGTGTGGCACAGTGAATCAATGTCGAAGATATCGCTGTTGTTATCTGCTAGCTTTAAATCAACCCGGAAAAGAGGCAATGCACGTTTATTTATACGATGTAAAATATTTGTGACCTGGATTACTTCGTGGCCTTTATCTGTAATGTTGGCTTCAATGTCTTCAACAGAGGTGGACGGGTGGAGGTGTCTATTAAAAACGCTGTACGGTCTAAGTGACTTGGGTAGATAAGAGTGGAATTTGATTTGTTTATTGTTCGATAGGTATTCACTGATAGCGTTGTAGGCAGATATACTGCGAGGATTGATAATCAGGTATTTGAGAGTATTTTTAAAATAAAAACTCGATGGATCGAGTACTTTAAGTAAGGAATTTTTGAGTGTAGAGAAGTCGTATCCGTCACTTACGCARAAGGGGGGAATATGAGGCTTGGTCGTTGGTGGCGGTTCCAAGTAGGTGTGCGAAGAGGTGTCCTCTGCTTGAGGCGAGACTGTGACAGGCGGAGGACTGAACACCTCCGGGTGAGGATCGGCATCTTCGGAGAGAGAGGCAAATCGGTTCGGCGAAACAAAAATTTTGTTTTTATTAACTCCATCATTGCTAGACGATGACGATAAATTACGTTTAGAGGATTTAGAAGCAGGCATATTAAGGTTGGGTGCCGGGTGGTCATTAGTGAAAGGCGATAACGGACGCACGCGACGAACGTCCGCTCGCGATAAACGGTACCGAACGACTCAATATTATCTTATAAGTTATAATTGATATAAAAAATAATGGAATTAAATTCCATCATACAAATTTAATTTAAAATAATAATAATTACGACGTTACTTCATATTATTAATTATTGCAGTATATTTTTTTATTTATATTTTATATTATTTATGATTATTTATTTATATTTTTATAATGACTAATGATGTTAAACGATTTATGTAACACACTTCATACGCACACTTACACATACATTTTTAATCACACTTGTTTAAAAGTTTGAAACAGACAGTCCTAAGCCTGTTAAAGTGAGAAGAAAAATGTGTGCGCAAACAAGTTCTGACAATAGGGATTTTTGTCACAGATAGCCAAAATATATGTGCGCAATCGAATTGAGTATTTTTGCGCATACGAGCTGTAGCCTGGAACGACTAATTAATAGCTAGACCTTAGACCTCTATTCCCGATGGCCGAACGGGAAACCGGTTTGCGTTGTACGGTGGCTAGGGTTGTAGGGTCTTCTAAATGTGTCTATGCTTTATCGGCGTAGACGACGCCAAACATCAAGTTTAGGTATGTATATATTTTAAAATTGATATTGAAATCAGGTCGATTTGAATGTCCTGAAACCCCTAATTTAATAATATTATTTAGCATGACATCTTAATATTGATAAAAAGCTGTGGCTACGTTACGCCAGCTTTTTTTTTATAAAAAAAAAATTCATAAATAATGGTTACACAAATGTATACTGGTTTTTAAAAAAAATAATAAATTGAAGGAGGCATTGTAATACTTAATTAATACAACCAGTCACCAAAAAAGCATTTGGAATGAAGTATTTCATAATCGCAAAAACGACATACGTACATACCACTCTGTTATTGAATATTACCAAACAGTTAGAAGTTGACGACACTTCCAACGGAGAAGAATGTATCTCAATTTTCAAAATTTTTTTTAAATTTGGTATTACTTTTTTCTTGTATTCTCCATGAACATCACAGAAACTGCGTCTTAGTGTATAGAACATCTTTGATATATTATTATGTTACAATCAATTCCAATAAAAATCCAGAAAGTAATAACACCAAATTTAAAAATTAAAATTGGAAACTTGAGATGCGTCATCTTTCTTCGTTGGTGATGCCGTTATATTTTATAAAAGTCTGCAATTTTCAGAGATTCTTTTTCAGTTTTAAAAATTTTATATCATATTTGTATCATAATTTTATTACATCAGCACTGATGGCAATTGATATCATTCTACATAATGATCATCAATACCAATACGAAATGGAATACACGTTAGATGGCCGATAATTTATGTTATCATGTGTATGACACGTGTTGAACTCATAAAATATAATTTTAGTTTTCACAATGATATATAATACCATAATGGATATAAGCCGTTTTACATTCACGTCGATGCATAAGGGCATAACATTGACCATCGATACCAATTGGTCCACATTGGCTAAACCGTTTTTGTAATCTATGGTATTTGCCCGTCGCCACTGTAACCGAGTCCTTTCGGTCATTGTACACGATGATGTATCAGTATAAATGTAAATTTTCATCAACCACGCACATACTTAGAAGTAATTTCGATAATATATTTTGACTCACCGTGACGATTCGCAATACGCATATGTCACATATTATATAGATTATAGACCAACGAATTATTCAACCCCCAGATCAATATCACACTCTACATGGGGTAATGTGACCATTATGTAGCGCGCTCTCGTACATAAATATTAAACTATTCTCTCATTCGTGTTATGACGAAGTTCTACGGTATTGATTTCTTGTCCCTGTTGTTTATAATGATAATTATTTTAATATAAAAAAAACAACTAACTCGATAAGTGTTTTCTAAATTATTGTTGATAAAATTTTGCAGGAATTTAAATTWTTTGATACATTGAACCGTGTTCATTGAAGATTGCCACAATCAGCTGGTCTAGCAACACCCCCGTGCAACAAGCTACAACTTATTGATTTATATGTGATGAATATAAATGGTGAACGGTGATCTCCCATTGGCTGTCCTATCTCACTATAATACTCATATATACATATCAAACAAGCTGTGTATTTGTGGAACAGTAATCTAACCATTCGATCAGTGCATTGGTACCGCTAAGTTTATAGTTGTTTCAGTGCTACGTATAAAATTATTTTAGCGGAAATTTAGCGTAAACCCTAGTTTATTGTACTCTCCTACTATCGCGGTGGTAAATCATAAGTTTTCGTTAAATTTCACATAAATCACAGGGCGATTTGTGCATAGTGGAAATCAACGCGACCACACCCATCTACCACACCACCATTGTGCAATATTCACGCAGTCAAATTTCAAGTGCACGATAATTTTAGAAGGTACATTATATATAAAAATTAGAAATAACAATGATTTCMATCTCGGGATTTGTCTTCCTAAATGACATGGACTCGGGACGCAAATATGGGACAAGGATAAGTCATACTACCTTAGAAATTGAGGACGTAGATGGCGAATACATTATGTTTTTAAAGTTGTCCCCGGATTATTTGGAATCCACGTACTTGCTTCGTGACTTGGATAGCGTAATATCTTACGAAAAGAAAGTAGTTCTGAAATTTTTGAGACCAAATCATGAATTACTTRTAATGTCGGACGATGCTAATAAAATGATGTGTTTCTTAAAAGATATGAAGTGTCTCTCCAAAAATCTGAAGATAAATATCGGAAAATCATTTCTATTCGATGCTCTCAAACCGTTTGGKCATATTAACGACGATCATAACAAACTACAAAAATTTGATGTGACTCACTTAAGAATGCTTGCCCTGGAAAACTGCTATTTACCTCATTTGCCTGAAACGATTGGAGATTTAACACTTTCAAGTATTAGTCTGAATGGTAGTAGAATTAATATGTCAAAATATGGTCAAGATTTGTTCTGGGACTGGATGACCAAGCATGACATAAGTACATCGTTGGTTGTGTTGGAAATGAATTCAATCGGCTTAAAAAAATTACCGTTTGAAATCATACATTTGAAAGGTTTACGAACTTTGTCAGTGTCCAATAATAAATTGGTAAGTTTGATTTATCATTTACTACACATGCTGATTTTAAATACCTGCTTGTAAACTAAAACAAGGAGGTTGAACTTTTTTTATCCAATTATTTCTAGGTACCTGTTACATATATAGTGGCGTACCTACCTAATTTTAAAATTGTTATGGTGGAAGAAAGGATATCTGCTTTGTTATTATTTATATAGTTTAGTAACTTGCAGTGTAGATGACTTGGAATTTGGATAAGACAAATATGTCTTCATATACACCTATGGGGGGGGGGGGGATTTACAACTATCGTTTAAGCCTTTCGTTCGAGTGTAACGGCCACGCCCTTTTTTACGTTCCGTTAAGAAGTTCGACTAAACAATTGAAATTCATTATTATTAATATTTAATTATTTATTTATTGTCATTATTATAATTGAACTAAAGCATTGCAGCCAGCAGGTAACTATAGACATAAGCATTTTTTGGGGGGGTTATGGTTGGTTTTAGAAACATGTATGTTATGACACAAGAATTCACCACTAAATATACGGGTGTAGACACTTATCAGCCAGGAACTAGCGACACCGGACGATGCTTTAGGTACCGTAGCATACATGAGTGACTGCGGCCAACGTACGCGCCAAACCAGGCTGCTTTAATATTATATTATTACCTATGTGAAATTGATCATTATTTAACGTTAATATTTAGGTATGTTGTGTACTAGGTATTACATGCAGTAGGTGGTATTCGGCCCGATAGATTCGTTACCCATTAGAACTTTTAAAAGCAGTTCAAAAACTTAACTCAACTTTTAACCATCCGTGTGGCCTCAAAAATTATGTGAATTTAACAAAATATGTTCATATGCCACTTGTTTGTTGTTTTACTACTTTCGCAACAAGTGAAAAACTGTCGTATGCATTTCAACAAATAATTCTCCACTCAATATTCGTTGGTGTTACGCAATCGCATACTGAAGTTTTTATAAATTTTTACTAACAATCCACTGTAGTGGATGTCTCCCTCAATATTCTCAAACAAATGGATTTCAATTTCATTTAGGACAAAGTTATTGAAGGAAAATCTAAAGTTTAATATATAYTATATTATACAGTCACAAATTATTCATATCAAACACACTTAACCATTTTCAGGTRAGGTGGTTACAACACATTAATGACCACCCACCCCCTATGAATACGACAATGGCATGATGTTATTTATAGTGTAGACGGATTATACGTAGTGCGCTAAATACATAACGGTCAACATTATATTTTTGTTTTTGTTTTTCTATACGGACGACGTTATGTGCTTTGACATTAGTCCCTTCCTCCCTACTATTGCACTACTCACCAAATATATGGTTGACTCTAATATTCAACGAATTATATAAAACAACATTTATATATATATATATATATATAAATACAATAATATTACTATAGTATTATAGTAGTTATTATTTAAAAATTATAAATTTATCAATATAAGACAAACGTTAAATTCAAAATAATTCATTTGAAACAAAAAAAAAATAGTGAAAAAGAAGCATTTATAAGAGAACAGATGATAAAACAAAACAATTTTTTTTTACAACATTTACCTTTAAATTTGTTTTATTTTTATAAGATACAAGTAGGTGCATAAAATGAAATATTTTTTTTTGAAAAATACAAACACCAACTGAAACTGACTGGTCTGACTGCGTTATATTTAAACATATTTTTTAATGTTAGCTTTATAGTTTTAAAATTTCTAATCTAACTTATTCACAAATCGTAATGAAAGTATATGAAATATAAAAATTATCAAATTATGTATAATAGTTATCGGTTTAGTCTTACAAGACATCACTAACTAATGATTTTTTTTTTCAGAAACATATACCTCATTTCATAGGCGAACTTCCAAAACTCAAAACTCTAATGGTTAATGGTAACTCCTTAAGGTACTTTCCAGATAATTTATGGGATACAGTCTATCAAACTCTCAACATATTAAATAATCGATTCGTCTATTTGAAGTTTAATAAGGAACGACGTGAAAATGCTGAATTTATTGGTTTACGAGATGCTCCGAAATTATCAGATTTATCAGTTTTGTCCCTGATTAATAATTGTGTAAAATTCAAGAGGCAAGAAATCCCTCGTCCTTTGTGGAACAATTATGATTTTGTATGCCGTTGTAAAATTTGTAAGAAGCTATTTGTATTTAATGAACAAAATCAAAAATTCACTTTTGCCCTTCCAAAAACAGAACAAATGGTGGGGATTGGAAGAATATATTGGCAATTTTTCGAGTGCCCTTCGTGTGTACGTTTAGAAAATATTAACATCTAATTTACCTTTTTTTTTTATCAAGTAGCTCTTATTATACATTTAAAAACTCAGTTTGCATGTCTTGGTTGTTACTAGCCAGTGCAGCCCGGGTTGATCTACAAATAAAACATGGGCCACCAAGTCTACATTTATAGATAGTAATTACTTAATATTATCTATATACCTAGCTATTACTGAATTTAAATTACAAAATACTTCAGATTGAAAATAATTTTGCAAAAGAAAAGAAAATGTTATAATAAGTATACACTACATAATGAGTGTTAYAAATTTCAAATAATAACCTACTCAATGGTCTGTAATACAGCTGGGAAAAATCATTTCTAATAATATAATATGTTCTAATCGATTATCGGTTACATCTAAAAAAAAAATAACAAATACAAAAAAATCATAAGTTTACAATAGTTAACTAATATTGAAGTAGTCATTAGGTTAGGTTAGGTTAGTTAATTAGGTAAGTTCCAATCATAAATTAAAATAAGTATCTGTCAATATTATTATACAAAAATTAAACAAAAGAATAGTTGTAGGTTCTCCATTTTTACTTCTTAGTTTGATGTCATAAACTAATAATAAAAATTTTTAATTTCGTTTGAGTATGTAGTTTTAGTGTACCTAGACACTCATTGGTTTTGAAGTTCCTTAAACGGGAAACTCCTTCCCATAGGTTTAATATAGGTAATCTTTAATTTTTTCTTACTTTCTGTTTGTCATCCCATTATCTTAAATAATGGCGTGAGTTAATTGTAATAATAATTTATTTTTTTAAAATCTAATTAAAATCTAAAAAAATTAAATTAAATAAACTAAAGAAAATTAAATCTACTTACTGCCAATAATATCACAATATTCTCTCCTATAGTAATGCAAACAACAAAATTAGATTTCTCTTTTAGAATTTAAAATTTTAATTCCTACTGTAGCTTGAAGAGTGAATACGCTTTAAAAAAAATATATTGATTATACTTTAGGGATGGTGGGATTTTTGGTATACCTAATGCCCTAATGGTATTTACAAAATACCAGTACCCAGTATTTTCGATATTTTAAAATAGGTACCAGTATACTATGATTCGGTAACTACTATTGTTACCAACACCATAATAGCAAAATAATTATAAATCTAATTTTAAAATAGATGTATAGTTTTCTTGGGTTAAAACACTTTTAAATTCATTTAAAATACCGATTACAGAGGTACGGTGTTTTCGATAACATATTTTTATGTGATTTATTTTTTTTATTTAGGTATTTATTTTTTACTATAATTTATTTAATTTTGTTAATAACTCATAATATATAAATAATATAATATAACTAAAAATACATAATATTATGTATTTCTAATATTTTATCACTATTATGTAAATTTATGAGGTCTAATGTCTAACAAATACTATAAATCCCAGGATGTGGGTAGGTATTGAAATGTTTAAAACCCACATTCTAATTACCTAGCTATACGTTACTTCAAAATAAATAATTTTAATTTCATATCTTTGAGTTTGTTCTAAAAGATTGGATGGTAATTATTATCATGATATTCTATAAATAAAATTGTCAATCAATCTATTTCAGTTATAGGTACCTTATTAATTAGCATACGCAGCATTGATATATGTATATTATGTCAAATTTTTCCATTATTTCATACAAATGCAGATTGGTCACAAATTGTGACTCACAATAAAACAATTTTAAAGATATGTTCAAGTAATTCAATATAAATTTAAAATCGGTCACAACTCCCAAGTAAACTTTAAGACGAATTGAAAGTTATTTTTTGAATTACTATCCGATCTTTGTGTTAATTTTTTAGATACCTACCATAGATATAAATTATTATGACATATTAATCGAAACTTATATCACCAAATGTTGCCATATAATACATAAATATACATTGACCGTATCCTGAGCTTAGATTCGCACTTGATTTAGTGACTTGATACCGTTCTTGTGCATTTGAATTACTTCCGGATTAAAAGATATCTAAATACCTGCCTATTCAAGTAAATATAATCCTTTATTACTGTCGATAATAACAAAGCTCAATGCATAATATGTTACATAACGCTCAATATCTTAGAAATAACCACTCAAAAAACAGAATTGTATTTTTTAAATTTTTTTAATGTTTTTATTGGTAAATTTATATCACTAATATTATGTTGATGCATTTATAATTATTGTTTTATGTTTAAGAATATAAGCGAAATCACCACCATACCTAACCAATATTGTTTATTTTTGTTAACATCAATTTTATACCAAAGAAATTATTAATACTTTATTTAAAAACAAAAAATTGTAATTACATCACCTATTTTTAAAGGTAACTATAGCTTTTAATGAACAAATTAATAAATTATTTTATATTATTATTATTATTATTATTATTATTATTATTATTATTATTATTATTATTGTTATACTTAACTATTTATTCGCTTTATTCAATTTATTTGCTAAAAAAAAAATATAAAAATATAAATTGTATTAGTATAAGTATTAGTATAGCTACAAACAAGTAACCCACATCATAGGTATTCTTTGTGTTTTGTGTCAATTACTGTTTACTATCATCATATATTTTTTGATTGCGTATTTTTCTTACTGCAAAACAAAAATACAAAACGGAACTAACCGCCTAAACCATTATATAGTATAAACCTACTGTTACCTACCTAAAAATGCTCATTAATCTAATAATTAATTATCGATACCCAGAGCAACTACAGCGCCATAGCTGATCCACCCATAATTTGATGTAAACCTTAAACAATATTATTATAATATGTGTGATTGTGTGATTGTGTGAATAAAAAAATAAAATTACAAATGTAGTGTTCGTTGAATTCCTTAAAAATATATAAGAATTCTGTATCGAGTATATATTATGTCAATTCAATATGTCTTTCTTCGGTCTTCCAGTGTCCACATCTTTAATGCCTTAATAATAGAAGTGGTCAGCGTACACATATCGGTACTGTATCTTCGAGTCTGGATAAACTATGATATTGAACATCAGACAATACTATAATGGCATTGGATTCATCGCATTGGCTTATTAAAATAGAGTTTCAATATTAACACTCAATATATCGTATTGACAGAAATGTAAGACAATGGTGCATTTTCAGTAGCCCGACCTTGATCAACAGGACTGTTGCGAAGAGGGGCGACCGGTTTCGACGCCTTGGGTGAAATTTCCATGAAGACTCCAACGTATTATATAAACACAGTTTTATATAATATGTTATTAATGTCAATAATAAAATTGCAATACCTACAATTCAATATTTGTATGAGTTTTTGTTTAAACCTTCAATCTAATTTAGATTCATATTGATATCAATGGTTAGTAGAAAAATTATTTCTAATTATAATATTTTTATATATAACACCAATACTCCGTTCAAGCATAGAACATAATATTAATAATAGAACTAATAGGAGCAACAGTAAAAATGGTGATCAATTTGTTTACGTTATTYTAGAATTCTATATTCTCGACATGGCGTTGAAACCCTTTCTTCTATAATATGTTTTAACAAACGTAGTGTAACTCGTAGGCAGTTTTGTAGTATATTCTAGTTATAATTTTTGGTAGTTAGTAAGTTCACATAAATAATAATAAAACTAATTTATGCTTACTTAAATAAAAAATATTTTATTTTACAATTATCATTAACACGGCTTTTACAGATAAACTGAAAAGAGTGAATTCAAGGTCCATTAAAATATTTGTCAATGTACAATACCTAGTTATCTGATTGTTGTCACTTTGATAATGTTTTATTGTTCTAACTTCTGATTAAGAAACTTATACTTCAAACATGTAAAGAGGACGCCACACCCGCATATGTTGTCTCCGTCTTATAAGTGCGTAATATAGCAAAATGTACGCTCAGCAGTTCTAATTTATCTCCGWTAGTTTAAAATTTATAGTGAATTGACCTCTCATAAAAATTAGGTAACATTACTATCTTTGTTATCACAGAGGCTTTTTTTGTATTTTAATTTTAAAGCGAGTACAAAGATATACAAACAGTTTTTAAATTTTAAAAATACTTAAAACTCGCTTTAAAATTAAAATAAAAAATAAAAATCTCAGTGATGACTTAGAAAATAATTTTACCTTTAATTTTTATAAAAAGTCAATTCAAACTAAATTTTAAACTAACGGAGATAAATCGGAACTGCAGAGCATAACATTTTCCATGTTACGCACTTTTAAGACGAAGACAACAACACGTACGGGTGTAGCGTCCTATCACAGAATATATATAGTATAAAATATATAGTCCTATTATGAACATGTTTGCCGTCTAAAACCGGTTTTTCCCGACATTAACTGATCATGTTCTTAACAGTGCGGAATACAGTCAGCGGCCATATTGGCGGAAATCATGCAGTTCTTGACACCCTACATTTTAATGCTAGCACCCCGAATCTCTTGCGAATCTTCTACCTAATTCAAGCTTTTATCAATAAAGCTTTTATCAATATAATGTTTTATAATACGCTAAAAGGAATGAATTTTCTTACAAATTCACAGTTCTATTTAAAATTGGTTTAAATCTTTAATTTATATTACTTTTTTAATAGAGCATCATATGCAACGGTTATAAGGAGAAGTATCAATATATGAGTAGTAAAAGACGTTATGCTCCTATCGACTTGGTTTTCTCTAAAATGTGCTTAAACCCCATAATGTTTTTTTGGTAATTAATTTCCACAGAACTTTATGGTGTTAAATACGTGTTTGTTAGCATTAGCTAAGTCAATTTTTTTTTTTGTGATACATAGGAACGTATTAGGTACCGTTGTAAATTTAGTAAACAAAATAATGGAAAATGAATAATGGTTGTATAATATCATAATATAGATAATCATTAATATTTTATATTGACATTTATATTATATTTATAATCAATGATTTATAATGTATTAGCATTAGGCAAACAAATTTACAATTAACCAATGACCAAAGTTCAAAATATGACATCCAAAACTTTTAAAAGTGGAAATGTCAACAGTATTATCTAACTTAATTTTAATATTATCTCAAGAAAAAAATTGTGTTATATTTACCTATTAAAATAGGTATTAAATTTAAATCATTGTTTGATCATAGAGTATTTTAGCTTAACACAACTAAATGGTAGGTAATAGTGTTTCAAATACACATTAACTAATAAGTAGAATATAATAGTAGATAGATACATTAAGTTTTTGTTTTTAAATACTAAATATAACTTAAAATAAATAATTGACAGTTAAATTAATACACACAACACACGTCAAAACCATTAAATATTAAGAACATAACTACAATAAAATTATTTCTAAAATGAATATACCATATACAGTATAAGTACACACATTTATCAAAGCTATTAGTATTAAATAATTAAATATTAAAATAACTTAAGTTACAATTTATTGTAATAACATAAACATAACTAACTAGGAATAGATTATATGCTGTTATGTAAAATTTAATTTACTATAAATAACAATTAATTGACAACAATTAACATTTTATAAATTTTAAATAGCAACATTGGTTCAATATGTGCGATCTATGAATAAGTTAATTGCCTGAAATATTAAAATTATAATTAAGTARGTATAATAGGTATAACAAGTATATAAATGTAATTTAGAAAAATATTTTAAAATTGAGCCAGCATTTGTTATAATCTTCTTGGATATATTTTATATTGTATTTATTTATATAATCTACATTAGTAAGGAAAATGGTTAATCAAAACAAGATAAAAATTTCAATGACCAAACAATCAAAAACGTTTGTTAGAAAATAAAAAAATAATATGGCATAAGAGTAATATTTGTATAACCTTTATATAACCAAAGCTATAAGTAGGTACTTATCACACAATAATTGACAACTTTTGATCATTTTTCATGAAGCATACTGCTTACATAAATGTGCATGACTTCGTAACGGTATTTGATATCTTCTTATTAGAAGGATTCTTTTGACAAAACAATGTGTATAGATACAACTTATATTATTGGAATCGTAAAGGCCAACAAGTAAGTATAGCTCACATATTAAACCAACAGTTTATCAATAGGTTGCACATATAATTKAATAAGTTCTTCTGTGTATTTTTTTAAGTATTAGTGATACAAAATGAAAATAAATACTACATACACATTTCATTACCTTATTACATATTAATAATTAATATAATATGATATATTCTTATGTTATGATATATCATCATTTGATATATTACAGGAATATTTATTAATTATGTAGGTACCAGTGACACAACCCGGTTGGTATAACCCCTCTCACCCATCCGAAATCTTGTTTTTTGCTGCCAGCGTGTAATTTTTGATGAATATACGTTAAAACAATATAAACTCCTTCCCTGAAATTATTTTTTAGTTGTGCCACTGGTAGGTTCTTTCTACAAAACTTATCAAAATAAAATTTACATCAATGTAACATCAATAGTTAAAACTTAAAAACTTATATTACTAAAACAAATTTATTTTAATTACAAATTAATGTACTATCATAAGCACAATTGCCAATTGGGGGG